TTCAATAACATACAAGTTTTCCCACAGTTGATGATTGTATGGCAATTACATGCCTTCGCCAGTTTTACTTTGGAAGAAGTTGAAAACATAACAGAAAAGGGGCTACAATCAAGCATGATTTTTTTTTTTTTTTTTTTACAAATGTCTATTTCAGAAACAAAAACAATAAATGTGTAGATAGGCATTTTAACAATTGCACAATTAATATTGGATGAAAACGTCATTACCGATATAAATCATTCTGTTCAAACAATTAAAAATAAGATCACATTTAATTTAGTCAGTTTTCATAATGAAATACATAATAACATGTACTTATAAATTTGAATAAGGTTCAACGGCCTTTTCATTTAGTGCCAGTTTATACACCATAAAACCTCTGGTTTAGGTGTCACACTCAGAGAAGAGTGAAAGGCCTTTGGTTCATAGGCACCGCGAAATGTTGGAATTGAATCCCCCCCCCCCAAAAAAAATCACAAAATGTAATATGCATTATTTTTTTATAATTTTGTTGATAACGAAAAGTAAAGTATGTTCTAAAAGAAGTTTCGAATAAATACAAACACGAATACATTGCTTAGAGGTTAGTACCGGTAGCAAATGATCACGGTAGTATCAGGGGGAAATCTTCTTTCTCTCGGGTTCTCCACTCTTGTCAGGGGGGAACTCGTCTCGTCTCTCTATCTCGTCCCCTTGAGGTACGGGATCGGGAAAGTCACTTTAACTTTACAGTCAAATAAGACACACACAACGAAATACGTTTCAACTCTCGTCTTAGTCGATCTTTTGGAGCGCTCTATAAGACACAGCGCCCTGGGGAAAAGTCCCCAAGACTCTCGCAAGGCTGACCCAAGACTAGCCCAAGACTGGACTGCCTCAAGGCTCGCCCCTGGACTCTCTCGGACTGCCCTCTCTCTCTACTGCGTCTATCGTGGAGTATTCGCCAAGACCAACTCAAACTCTCTTTATTCATGTTCAAAACTCTAACCAATTACAAAACAGTAAAAAGACTCTAAGGCGTAAACTTCAATCATAAAGCCAATCAAACTAAGTACTGAATACGTCATATCTTTTGATTAATCGTTCACTACATTAATAACTACGGATGTCAGAATAGCGACGGTATCTTGTAATTAGTTCCAAACCACTGAGCCAAGTTCCGTCCAAAACTTCAAATAGGCCTAGACGATGACAGACATAACACAGCAATTCGCTAATAATCAACTAATTAAGTCGGTCAACAGATACGCAAAAACAAATTCATGACAGTAGCACAATCTGGTCATTCTGTGTTTCGCAAGTGAATAACTTACTTGTTTCGAAGTATTGCAATTGTTGATTATATTCAGTAATGATATAATAAGCACAAAA